AGTCTCTTAGTCTAGCTGATGGGATGAAAGTCAATGGAAAATTTTGGACATACTAGTTGAGAATGTTACTAATACCTCGAATTGTCTATTTAGGATAACCCTCAATCTGATTTTCAAGTTGCACGACAATGGCGTAGGTTAGTCAGTGGATCTTCGGTTCACTTCCACAAAATTACGGATAGCTCTGTGATTGGGATTAACAATGGAGCTCTCAATGTAAAGAAAAGAAGTCAAAAGCATCAAAAAAAGGTACAGGTGTGCATTTTAATTAGAACTAATTGCCTTATTATATGTTCCTAACGAACTGCAATTTTAATCATTTAGGATGATCAGACTAAGCAAAACCAAAAACGGGTAAAAGTTATAATGGTGGATGGCGATGAAGATAAGACTGAAACAATAGATGATAATAAAGACAAATCAAAACAACAGGTAAGATCGAAACAGGAGATGACTATGAATATGAGGTCGAAGACAACGGAAGCCTTGAATTTGATTTCGATTCAGTTATCAAGAGTTTGCAACAAGAACCATTACACGAAGTATTAAACTTTTGATTCCTTATTGCTTTGTTACTGCTTTTCCACTTTTCCACTTTTTTTTTTACTATTGTTTTTGTGAATCAGTGGGAAGTTGGTGGTATAAATGTTACAAGAAAATTCCGTGAATATCAGCAAGAGGTTCTCAAAACACTTAAAACAACTGGATTAACCTGGCATAATACATACGAAATCTTGTAAGTAACAGCACCTACGAATCCAATATTAAGTTTACATAAATGTGCTCACGTGCAAATATCATTTTACATTAGGGCACTCTCATCCATAATTGTGCTCTGTAGAAACTGTCCTTATCCAAATTTTAACGACGAAGAGTGGCAGACGATAACTCTAACAAACAAATATACAATCCATGAGCCAGTGATACCAGCTTCAGTATCAACTGCCTTACATGAAACTGTGATCAAGCATTTGTCAGGCCAGGACAGTTATATGCATGCAGATGAAACTCCATTGAACAGAACAGTTGCACGAACCTTCAATGAATTGTAGGTTGATATATATATATTTATTTATTTTATTGAATTGTTTAATAAACTTTGTTAACACACTTAGGCGAGATAATTTACCCGATCTTGCACCACGAAGAACTTCCGAGGATGAACACTGCCGTTTATTTCTGAATCCCTATATAACTCCGATTTTTCTGAAGAAAAATAATAATTACGAAGTGCGGTTAAATCGTGCCGTCGCGGGCACGAAACAAAGACCTGACCTTTCGTGTGTCGTGGATGATATACCTTTATTAAATTCTGAGATTAAACCAATGGGGAGCCATCTTTTAAGCAAGAAAAAGGATTTTGCAAAAGTTCATTTACGGGCAAGAAAGACAATTAATCAGCAGTTGACCTCGAAAGGTGGCCCAGGAGAAATAGCGATGCTCCTCAATCATGGTTTGTTCGTTTTTACTAAAGGACTATCAATTTCTTATCTTTATTATTTAGGGCCATCCAATTGATATCTTTATTTACAGGTGATATTGTGCAAACGTATTTTATGGACCTCCAATTTGATGGACTATATCGATCATGGCCCTTTCTCACAACAAAATTGGCAATTGATGAACCCAGTTTGCCTTTGGTTGAATCAAACCTTGCTCATTTTGTGGCCTTAGAGGTATGTCAGATTTTGTTTATATATGTATATATCATTTTCTTATTTTATTTAAACTTTACAATCTGCATTCTCAGAGACGTGTATGTGAATTTGCTAAAGATTGCAAGCGTCGAAGGGGACCATTCACACCGCCCCTACAAATTCGATATATGCGTAGTATTCCAGACTCTCCACAGATCCGAAAAATGCTCGAGCTTTGATGTTAATTGTATATGTACGAGGTTGTCTTTAAAATTAAATTTTCTTGCTCGATGGGGGTTTAAAGGCAGGGGTCCGCTTCCGAACCCAGAATAGAGTAGTTACATTATAAAGAATAACGCTTCATAGTAGAGTTCCAGAAAGTATTATATAATAAAGATCATTTTCATTCATGTAATGATCACGTAGCGATTACGGCCCATCACGGGCTACATCACGGTTGATGTCGCATACATATTCACGTTTACTTTTGCGTGTATATTTCGGGATTTTATTATGTTGTATGGACATTGATGTAATCAAGAATTTTTTTCTTGGCATTTTTCCAGGACCGCGCGGTCTCGCAAATTTAACCACGTAAATTTAACTTCGGTACTTTGCACAATAAAAAGATTTTGAATGAATGCACTTTCTATATAAAGTAATGTTGAACACTCAATCAAAAATCGATTCGTTGCAAGAATTAAATTCGAAGCTCTTAGCCGAGATTTCTGAGCTTAGAAAGGAGAATGCTGAGGTCAAGGCCGAGAATACAAAATTGAAACAAGTCATAGAAGCAAATGCTGAGCTCAAGACCAGATTCGAGGAGCTAGAAAGAAAAATAAAACAGACACTAGTAATCTCATTGCTGAAAATGCACGAAATTGGAACAGAAGCAGACACAAAGTGGTAGCATACATGTATCAGAAGATTCTATTCTTCACGAAGCATCATCTGATATTTCTTCCAATATTCACACATACTCGTCCGAGCCTAAATCGTCGGAAAATAAAGAGATCAATGAATTTCTGGATTTGAAAAGTAAGGAAAGAGTTAGTAACGAGATAAAGCAATGCAATAGGAAGAAGAAGCTTCAATGTGAATCAGCTAAAGACCGATCCCAGAACTTAGTTTCAGATACTTCTATCTCTCCCAGGCAAAATCATGTAAGCGGAAAAGAAAAATGTCAAGAAATTTCTGTTACTAAAAATCACGAAAAATCTTCTGATCAAATTTCCAATATGTCTAGTAATAAAATCTCAAAACAAAATATCGAACTTATTGATTTGCCTGATAAACCATTAACAAATCTAATTGTAGAACAAGAATTACAGCAACAGATTGCCGTGACTACTGGAGATAATAATTCAGCTATGCTAGATGAAAACTCAATGCAAGATATTGACATTTCTATCAATGATTTATCCCCAGTTTCAGCCCAAGCCATAGTATGCATGTTTCGAAAGGCGATTCGATCTGGTCAAGATACAATTTTATATTGGTATCACTTTGCTGGAAAATATGACAGAAGAATAGATGAAGTTTCTGTTAGTAACAAAGTTGGTAAGAAAAAGTAACCAGCTTAGTGTATCACGAAATTAAACAGTTTTTACCAGATATAACAGATGTGAATTTACGACATAAAATTCTCAAAGCTAGAAAAATTAGAACACTTTTCAGTGCAGTAGGAATAGAGAAAATTAGACAAGTTTCATATAGCGCAAATGCAATTTCTAGCCTTACTTATATACAAATCCAAAACATTATAAATTATGTCTTACAGGAGCAAGGATGCAAAGCATCTAACGAACAAACTTCTACTTCCTCTATTCCATTGTCTCATGTTCTTAATTCAGAAGATAGGATAATTAAAGAAGTTAAATCTTTACCAGAAACTGAGATAAATACATTATTCACATCACAACCTGAAAAGATTTTATTGGAAACTGCAGTAAGTGAATTAGCGAATAATAATAATATCTCACTGAAAACTAATCTCCCATCCATGTCTCAGTTAAGTACATCCGATAATGAAGATTCCTTCGACAATAACAAAGATGATGAGAATTTTTCTGATGATAGGAGCTTCTGTGGTTTTTCTGATGACGATGATGAAGGTTATTATTATGATTTAAATACCGGCAAAACTTATACAAAATCGGACCGTTCAATCTACGCATATTAATGATTTTTAATATAATCCTGCTTCCTCACAATAAATACTCGAAGTCAGATATTTCGTTATACAGTGTGGGACAAAAAAAACCGGAAAATTTTTTGTGAGACAAAAAATCTTCTAACTTGCCCAAATTTGGTTCAAATTGTGTCATTTTTTTTTTAGTAT